CAGGTACTACAAAGAATGCCCCAGAGGAATTTCTCTTGGTTCTCACGCACCAACACCAGCCCATCCCACAGGCCACACTGCCTTGCATTTGGGGAGGGCCCCAGGAACTCAGGGATGAGGAGGTCTCTCAGCTCTTCCCCTGTCCCTAGCCTTTGGCTGAACGAAGAACTCTATGCACGTGGGGAAAGGCCTATGGGAAAGAGTTGGTGGATGGGTCCAGACTCCACCTGGCGCTCCATGGGACTGTCAGTACATTTCTAAATCCTTCAAAGACCTCGTAGAACTGCTGCATATACTCAAGGACCTCAATAAGTGCACATTAAATAATCTGTGAATGAAAGAATAGATCCCAATATGCACTAATTTAAAAACTGTCGAAATGGTAGTTTTCCAAAGGGAGATGATTCTGGTTCTTATCCCCAACAGCCTTGAATAAAACCTACATGATATGCTGTTGCTGGTGGGTATTTAACCATGCTCTTACCTTAGAGTTGCTAACATCCTTTCCTGTTTTGTTTTCTTTTTTTCTTGGTAAATCCACCTTAAGAATTACCAGGAGTTCATTGCTTAATTCTTATTGGTATGGCATTATTCTCATCTATACATCTTTCATAAGCACACACACTTTCGATTTACACAAACAAATATTTTAAGTCATTTTTCTTCAGTGACTTACCTTAGGGCCCTTTAACTAAAGTCCTCGTCTCTTGTCTGACCTCCTTATCTCTACTCCCTCTTACCTTCCATTCTGATTTTTATTTATGACATCAGAGATTTTATTCAACGTATATATTATGGTATTGTAGATGTTTTGTTCTTGTGATGGCCTAAAGCCAGCTTTTTCTTAAAAGACTATTGGGGACACTAGATCCGGGACCTACACTATTTCTTAGCCACCAAATCACAGGAGAGAGCAAGTAGAATATATTTTCAGAACTTCCTACAAAGGGATCATAACTTGGAAAAATCACATCTGACCTTATAATTGGTTTTATTTATTTTTTTAGTTAACCATTATTTTGAATTTTTGACTGAAATGAGCAGGGGAGGGATCTGGATGTAAAACAGCAAAAGGTACAGCTCCAAGCTAGCTCAGGGGATTAAGATCTGCTCAGTTGACAGAAGAGGACATTTAACTTTTTTCTCCCAAACTGCCCAGATTCTATCATGGTGCTTGGAAGAGCAGCTCCTACAAGAAAGGTGAGCAGATGTCTTGCTAATGGACACATAATGGGAGGAACCATTCTCAATATCTATGGCATCCAGGTGCCTGGGCTGCTGAGTGAAGGCAGCTTTATGCCTCAGCCTGAGCTCTGAACTGCCACAATTTCCCCAAATAGGAAAAGCTGGCAGTTCAGTAAACCTGAACCCCCCTGTTGAAATGTCTGCACAAAAACCCCCCCAAAAACCCAGGAATTATAAATGAGCTTTCAGGATGGATTGAGCCCTACAAGGAAAGTAGAGAAATGCACTCGGTATCATCCTAAGTTATGCACAGAGGAAGGATGCAGTGAATCACAGGAAAATTCTTAGCATCCCAGCCTCTTCTGAAATTCGGAAGAAACTGAGACTATAATATCCTTACTAATATCTCAGTTCCTTAGGAACATATGCAAGAGAAAAAGAGCTGGGAAAAATTACCTATTTTAATTATTGCAATAGACCCCGTGACCACCTAAGCAGACCAGAGTTTTGCATGAGATGTGTGGTATTAAGCAAAGTACTCATTTGCCATCTACCTGGATAGGTTCTCCGGTAACAGGATTCATTACTTCTTTTGCAGCAATTCTCATCCCCAGTGCAAAATTAGCCACTCTCTGAGCATGGCTTCCAATAGGCACAGGTACACCACCTACCACCATATAAGCATCACCTATTGTTTCCACCTGCCGAAGGAAAAAGAAAGGGTACTCAGAGGCTTCTCTTTATGCACTACATCAGCCATTTTCCATCTATTTCTGTAAGCAATATATTAAAGCTAGTGACTGCATTCAGGGGTATGAGGAGGATGAGGGGGAAGGTAAGAAGAAACGTGACTTAGGGAACAACCATGAGACAGCCAAAAAGATTTTCTGGTATTTGCTTTGTTCATTTGTTTTGATATTGGGAATCAAACCCAGGGCCTTGCTCATGCTAGGCAGCAGCTATCCCCCTGATTGACACCCCCAGCCCCCTTTCTGCTTTCGGTGGGAAAAAAAAATCCCAGGAGGTTCAGAATCAGGCCTCTGGAGTAGTCATATGATACTGTATTAGATAATGTATTATTTGGATATAAATTCTGCTAAATTTTCTAGAAAATTTTCCTAGAAAATAGTGTTTTCCCCTCAGTTGCGCCAGGGGACCATGTTAGCATGGGTATTGCGTGAAGAATCCTAGTAAGATATGATTCCTAAAATACTCCCAATTCTCCTTTATCTCTGCCTCTTCTCCCAACTCGCATTCACACCAAACCCCAGACGAGTGCCTACAGAGAAAAGAATCAAGACTCTGCCTGGCCACAACCTGTGCACAACCACCACACCACACAGACACTAACTTTGTAGACCTCGTGGACGCTGGTTAGCCTGTCAAACTTGGAGTACATGGAGTTCAGCATGTTCACTATGTGGATAGGCTCACAGGCAGCACAGATGTTGGTAAACGTCACCACGTCGCTGAAAAGGATGGTGCAGGTTTCAAACTCTCCTGCAATAGAAATGAGAATCCGTGAGAGCCTAGGAGAGAGGGTTCTGCCTTCAGGTGTCCCTTTTGGAATCAAACCTGCTTGTACCTTGGGGAAGAAGATCTGAGTGGCATTGACCTCTCAACAGTCACTCGACAGACACCAACTGAGCACCTGCCACAAGCACATCTCTTGAGCCTCTGCTGTGCATAAAGATCGTGTGCAGAGAAACGAGCAGACAGAGTCCTTGCCTGGAAGGAGCTCCCAGTCCAATGAAGGAGACATGAGAGTAAGCCAACATTCCCAATAGCATGTGACAGGGATGACACAATGGGATGACAGAAATGTACCCTCCCGTGAGAGCCCAGGCTGAGCCTGAGCTCCAGGAGGTTCAGAATCAGGCGTTTTTGGGGTCTAATCACCAGGAAGTGGTGCATTCTTCTGTCTTGGTACAGTGTGGTAGCTACCTGTGTCCTCCTAACCTGTGCCCTGCTTTCACTCTGTCCAAACTCATACTAATTTCTACAGGGTCATCAGATTTCCTCTTTTAAGTCTTAGAACCTTAAATCTTAGAACAAAATCCCAAATCCTTACCATGCCCTGCCACAGGGACTCCCTCTCTGTCCCTGCCACTTCTCTGACCACATGTCTTGACACTGTCCCTGTGGTTTACTCCACTCTAGTCTCACTGGCCTCCTTGGGGTTTCTCTAGCATGTTAAGTGCCTCCTGCCTCAGGGCATCTGCACCTCCTCTCTCCTCTGCCTGACATACTCTTCTCAGACATCCACAGGGCTCTTCCCTCCCATCTCAGAGGCAACCAACTTAGTGAGAACATTGTTGATCTCCCTGTCTAAAATAACAACCCCAAGACTCTCCATCTTCTCAGCCTTATTACATGCCCCCCATTCCATAAGACCTATGTGTCATGATTTTATTAATAAAATTCTGTATTTAGTTATTATCTGCCTTCCCCATTGGAATATAAACTTCAAAAATTGAGAGACCGTTTCGCTTTCTGCTGTACCCCTAGCACCTAGAACAGGGCCTGACATAGGTAAATGCTCAAAAAATACTCCCAATTCTCCTTTATCTCTGCCTCTTCTCCCAACTCACATTCACACCAAACCTGGGTATTAACTGGGTGAATCAATGACTCCTGAAACACAAATTGGTGCCTTTAAGTTATTTATGTCTCTGTAGTATTCCCCCCCTTTTTATAACTTCTCTTCTGTGTGGCTTCAGGCCTCCCAGTCTCTTTTTCAAATTCTTACCACCCTTCTGATCTTGTTTCACATCTTTTTGCTGGGTTCTTAAATTTCCTTCTTAAATATTGGGTGTTCCCTAAGGTTCAACATCCCACCCTCTTCTCACCTTGAACCTTTCGGATGATCTTACCAGCCCTCACGGGGTCCATGATTAGCCATCACCTACACTGAAGCTACTCCCAGACCCACGGCTCCACGCTAGAACCTCCCCTGAGCTCTCCCTACCATCCCTAGCCGGCTGCTGATCACGCTGTGTGCAGCATCCCTGGACATCTCAAACTCAACAGTAAACTGACCTTATCACTTGCCTTTAGACCTCGTCTTTCTGGATAAAGCATCACCAGCCCCCAAGCCGGGTACCTCCTCCTGTCTCTGATCTTCCCTATCATCTTGACATGATGGCTCCTCACCAGGCTGCCTGGGTTCAGGCTCTGACTGTCTCTGAACTTCACTTTGTCAGGCTCTCAGCCAACCTCCCTCTACACTGCAGCCCAAATGGCCTTTATAAATTCAGCACATCACTTCCATTGTAAGAGAAATGAACTCCAGTGACTCCCCACCTCCTGCAAAACAAAGACACGTTCCTTTCCCTTGACAAGCCAGATCCATCACTCCGTCTCCTGAGCCTCCCCCCTCCTCCCCAGCTTCCTCAGACATCACTTGTCCTTGTCCTACCTTGTCCTGCATCTGGTACTTAATTTCAGGCTGCTTTACCTGGGCTCTGGCCAGACCACTCTCCTGAAGCGCTCTCCCCTTCTTCCCTTGCTGAAATTCAACCCCAAGGCACCTCGAGTGCCACACACTTTCACGAGATGCCTTCACAACTTCGCCCTGCCCCCCATCTCCTTCTCTTCTGATACCTGTTTATTATCCATCTCTGTGACATCTGTGTTCCCACTACCCCTGGAGAGAGCTTGTAGAGGAACGAGTATGGCTCTTGGAATCAGACAGACTTAACACGATGCGTTTCCAACTCATAAGCTGGGCTGAATGTCAATGTGCTCAGCTATACAGAAAGGATGACACCTCCCTTAGAGAAACGTAGAACAAGTTCAACAAACAGCAGGTGTAAAATACCTAACCCGGTTCCTGGCACAATCATTACTTCTTATTGCACAGTCACTTCCTTTCCATTAGCCAGTCCCATTCCCATTAATATATTCTACACATATCTGTCAAACCCAAAGGCTGGGAACTCCTTGGGGCCCCTGGATCTGGTACAGCCCAGGGCACTAAGCTCACTGGGCATGGCTGTGAAGGAACACACACCGGGCAAATGAAAAGTGAGTTCAGAGCAAACACATCATTCCTCCCTCCAGAATGGTCCTCAAAGGTACCCCCTGCTTCAGTTAATGTGTGGATGAATTATTTCCTGTTAGAGTTAAGGACCCTACTTTTGGACATTGAGTAATGAGGTGAGTCTCAGGACTCAGACTAAATTCTTAGAGAACCTAATATATGTGCATGTTGTTAACAACCATTTTTCTCTACTCCACATTTCACTCTCGTGTGGTTTTTCTTATTTTCAGTGTCGAGGGGAGAGACTGAGGCCATGCAGGCTAAGCAATGGACCCAAGATGGCGCCACTTACAAGGGATGGAGTAGAATTCAACCCCAGATCTGCTCAGCTTCAAAGCCCATGTCCTCAACCCTGAAGGCACACTCTCCCCTGCCCTGAGGTCCCCGTGAAGGGATGCCCTACCTGCGGCCACCTTTTTGCCCTCCTTCAGCTGGTTGGCCACGTGTTGGGGCAGCATGGCATACAGCAGGGTCTCTGTCTTCTTCTTTTCTATGGCCAAGTGCTTGGACAGGACTCGCAGCTCCTCCTTCTTCCTCTCCAGCTGGTTGGACAGCTCCATCTCCGCCAGCCTCTGCTGGTTGAGGAGGATGAGATCCCTGGTGGTGTCGTGGGGGGCAATGTCTGACAGATGCATCTTGCGCTCCTCCAGCTCTTGCAGACTGCGGAGCTTCGGAGAGCACAGGAATATCATGCACCGCAGGGACTCCATCCAGATCATCTGGCCTTTACGTCACAGAGAGAAAGGCAGAAACACAGTCTATCTCCAAGACTGGGTTAGCTGAGTCCTCCAGAGAAGTAAGCCTCACCCACACTGGCCACCTTCTAGCCACTATCATAGCCATACTCCTGCCTTTTCTGCCAGACGTCTTGAGAATGATCCATACTCCTGTGTCCACTACCTCATTTCCCCTCTCTCCACAACAGCTCTCTCTGGTTGCTTCTCTACCTTTGGCTCATTCATAGCCTCTAAGTTGCCAGCTCCAACACAAGCCTCAGTCTCATCTTTACTCACTCTTCTGTTGGTATTAACCTGAACTTCCTTTTCTTGAGGATTTCTAACATTGCTTTCTCTATAAAATTTCCCCCTACTTCTTTGAATTTTTCCTCTAGGATTTTGTTTTTTAAATTTCCTTCCTTAAATGTTGGCATTCCCCTGGGGTTGGTCTTGGAATCCTCTAGCATTATACTGTGTAATGGTTTCCACAAGGCTCATGTGGGAGACAGTGCGAGAAAGTTTCAGAGATGTAATGATTGGGTTATGGGAACCTCAGCCTAATCAGTGCATTAATAATAAGAAAAGAAATGGAAATGACATTGGATATGACAATAATTTCTTGGATGTAACCTCAAAAACACAAGCAGAAAAAGAAACAGAGAAATTGAACAACATCAAAATTAAAAACTTCTGAGCACCAAAGGACTCAACAGCATGAAAGGGCAACCCACAGAGTGGGAGAAAATATTTGCAAGTCATATATCTGATGAGGGGCTCATATCCAGAATATATAAAGAAACCCAAATTAAATATAGACAAAACACTTGAACAGACATTTCTCCAAAGAATATGTAGAAATGTCCAATAAGCACACGAAAAGATGCTCAATGTTATAAATCATTAGGGAAATGCAAAACAAGGCTATATAAGATCGCTTCCTATGCATTATGATAGATATTATTTTTTTAAAAAAAGACAGAAAATAATAAGTGTTCATGAGGAGGTGAAGAAATTGGACCCCTTGTGAATCATTGATGAGAATGGAAAATAGTGCCCTGTCTACAAAAACCAGTATGGCAATTCCTCAATAAATAAAAACAGAATCACAATCCATGTGATATGTTTCTGGATCATATTTCATTTCTGGGTAGACTCAAAAAACAGAAAAAGAAAATAAGGACTTAAAGAGACATTTACATACCCACGTTCACAGTAATACTAGTCACAATAGCCAAATGTGGTCATTCAATAGCCAGATAAATGGATAAGGAAAATGTATATACATACAACAGAATATGATTCAGTCTTTAAGAAGGAAGGAAATTCTGACACATGGAACAACATGGGTAGACATTGAGGACATGTCAGTGAAATAAGCCAGTCACAAAGGGACAAAGATGGTATGCTCTTCTACTTCTATGAACTACCCAGAGTAGTCAAAACCACAGACCGGAGGTGATTGCCAGGAAATGGGAAAAAAGAGGCACTAGAAGCTTGTGTGTGTGTGTGTGTGTGTGTGTGTGTGCGCACGTGTGCATGTATTCCATTTATGTCTAAACCAGAAACAGTTGAGGAAATATATTGTTGAAAAATAAAGCTAAATAGAAATGTCCAAAAAAAAAAAAAAAAAAAAAAAACCCAACTTGCACTCAACCGTAGTCCCTGCCCAGATTTTGGGAGATTGGAAACTTGGCTGGCCTCTTCCCTTTCTGACCAATCCTCCCCAAACCCGCAGGGAGCAAAGGGCTGGAGCGAGTTGTTACCACGGAGTTTGAGAGTGGGCTGATCTTTCCAAGCTTCCGGCATCCTTTCTCTTCGTGTCTTCAGGACAAATTGACTGTTGATAAATTTGCAGATGCTGGAAATGTTGAAGGTAACTTGAGGATGAACGATGGAGAAATACTCATCTAATCGAATCTTCTGGGTTTGGAGTCCTGGGACATACTTCTGAATATTCACTCCGGCTTGCTTGACCCTCAGCTATCCACAGAGGAGAGATGTCAGACTGGGGAACACAAAGGAACCTGCACCATAAACTTTCCTTTAGAAATAACATTTGGCCTTGCTTTGTGGCTCGCTGGGGAGAAAAGGGGGTCTGTAATGGAATAAACATCACAGATAGTTTTTCTTAATCAAATTTGTAGCTCATGGCTGGAAGGGAGGTAAGAGGAAAGGAAGGCTCAGCAGAAAAACTACAACAACAACAACAAAAAAAAACCAGGTACACGAGGCTCTCAACTGGACCCAGTAGTCCTTTCCTCACTCTCTAAGACCTCTCTGGGTCCTTCTGTCTCACTCACTAAGAAAGCAACTAGCAAGTTCTGTAGCCCTGGATCTGACACCCAGGCCTGGTGAAGGAGTCTATTGAGGGGGTGGAGACACATCTTGCTGTCTCCAGAGAACACTCAGAAGGGAGCAGTAAAATGGGTATCCTTTACATAAAATGTCCAATGCAGCAGTGTGTTCAGGGACATGTAGCTTTACTAACCACAGGGAATCTACTAGGTGATAGAAATCAGCCTCATCTTTTCACACATGTATCATGAACTTGTATATATTCTACACCCAAAACTTAAAAAGAAAGGGGGTTTCTAAGTAGACCAGAATTTAAAATATTAATAGTGGTAGTAATAATAATAAGAAGAAGAATTATGCTTTATGACACTGGAGAAAAGTCAAGGTGCATTACTCTATAACCACCAAGTTGTTTCATATAGGGGTATTTTTTTAACTCAGTGAATTCACAATCTCTTTGTGAATGAAGAGTCCACTCAAATGAGTACCCTTCATAGACTCTGTATTTAGAAGTCAACTGGTAGGTGATGATGATTTAATATGTCTATTGGTAGCAATAAATTATCAGAGAAAATCATAGTGGCTAAAAAGCCTTTTTTTAAGATCTTTATTTATTTATTTTTGTACGAGGGATTGAAATCAGGGACATTCAACCACTGAGCTACATCCCCAGCCCTTTTGTTTGTTTGCAGGATCTCAATAAGTTGCTTAGCCTTGCTAAGTTGCTGAGGCTGTCTCTGAATTTACAATCCTCCTGCCTCAGTCTCCCAAGCCACTGGGCATACAGGCATATGCCAACATGCCCAACAGCTGAAAAGCATTTTAACTGATTTTTGGGGGGGTCAGATCAATTTGCCTACTTGTCCTTTAAATTCACAATCAATTCTGATTTATCCAGAATCAATTTATCCAGAGAAATTTCTAACAATCAAACTTAAAAGGCATGCTCACAACCCCCTCAAAACATGGCAGGAGACCAGCACTGACCTCTCCCCAACTAAGATGCAGGAAGTCAAGCATGGTAGGACTGAGACATTGAGAGTGGTCCCAAGGATGGTGGGAGATGATGCTTAGAATCACCCAATGTTGCTACTGATGTCTGTGTGCATAGTGAATGCTAGGGTCACTTCTTTCTGCATTTATTTATTTGAATGGTAAACTTTCCCATTCATTCACTAGTTCAAACCTCCTTTCCATATCTACCTAGATGATCCTGAATCCCAGTTTCCAGAAGATGCCACAACCAGAATCCAAGACAATGGTTCTGCCAAGCTAAAAACCCTGGGAACTTAAAAGTCTCCTAAGACTATAAATCACTGCTCCCCCCCCCCTTCCCTGGCTTATTCCCAATCCCAAGAGGGAATAGTGCTCTTACTGCTTCATCAAAGATAATGTGGAAAGGAAAAGCCTCACAGAACGTCTTTGCTTCAATCCAGAGACTCTCAGGATAAATGGGCTCGAAGGTGTCCCTGAGGTGCCCTGGACACAGAAAGAGAAAGTCCTAATGAGAAGCAGCTCCTGCTGTGGCCCCGCACAGAGCCCAGCTCGGGACGGGGATAGAATCTTAAGTGTTTCACAGGCAAAGTGTGATCCCCACTCTTTAGCCCAGGCTCCCTCGGCGTCTCCAGATGGCCCCAGCAATTCTTCTTCCAAATTAAAACAAACAGAAAACTTGCTACCAGGTTGAGAAACCCTTCTGCCCCCTGCCAAGTTTCTGCCCGCCGCTCAAGAGTTACTGGGCCAATTGAGTGTGTCTCACCATGAAAACAGAGTCCGCATTGAAATGGTGACAGCCAGACAATGAGTGTGCCCGGCCCAGCATCAGGGACATTTGCCATGGAGCTTTTTAGACTGACAGTTTTGGGTGGCACATGAAAATTTAACCAACAGTCCTATTTGGCAGGGGGTAGAGATTCGAAATGGAGCCTTTTTGATATGAAAATCTCCTAGACAAAGGATGTCAATTGCATGTTTGACTCATTTGCCACGGCTTGAAGGACTCAAAATGCAGCTCTTTGAGCCCTGCAGACCTTCTCCCAGATGCATGTCACCTGACCCTGAGGTCATGACGAGGAGCATCTAGCTCCATTCTTACTGTGCATCGGAGCCCTTGTTCCAGCTCTGGCGTTAGGTGCCGGTTGTTAGGCCATCTTAGTCCCCATGGGAGTGCCAGAGGGAGCCTACTACACTCATTTTGCAAATGGAAAATTGAGGACCTTATCCAGGGTCATATAGCTCCTCAGGGACAAAGCCAGAAATCTTTCTTGGCTCTTGATCCAGTGTCCTTTACGTAACTGGATGACCATGGTCATTATACACAGTTTTCCAGCCCAGAAACGTGTACCAATCAAGAAGGTCTGGATCCAGAGGAGGAGTTAAGGAAACCCCGTTGTTCTTGACAATAACTCAGCCTCCATCCATCTTCCTCCTCAGCAGTCACCAGTTGGGACTAATTCCAATCCTCCCTCCAGCGGCTTAGGAGAGATGTCTGTGTATTATCCAGATGTATAGTATTACCCAATAGATGGCAAGTTAGTATGACATTTTAAAGTTAAAAAAAAAAAAACCTGACCACTAAATCTAAGCTCTGCAGAAATCAGGGGGCATCAATCATAGAGAACTTGGTCCCATTTGTGCACGGAGGCTGCTTCCCCTGGGAACCAGGCAGTCTTTCTGCTCTAAGAGCTGAGGCTAGGAGAACAGCCTACCTACCTTTTCCAAAAGTGACTATACTTCTCACAACATCCCAGTTGGATTTCTTCACAGGACAAACAGAGACACTTAAATATTTTTCCTTCATCCTAAGGAAAGCTGCCTGAAGAGCCTGCAGAGAGAGAAGCACAGGTGCCCAGTCACATGACTGGAGATGCACAGCCCCATTTGCTGTGATGGGGCCCATCTTTACAGTAGAACAGTGTCCACGGCCAGTGGGACAGTGCGAGGTTTGTGACATCAATGCTACCAAGATTTTTTTTTTTAAACCAAGTAAATCCCAAAATGGTTCCCCAACAAAAGCAACAAAAAACAATTAAAACCCAAAAAGAAAACAAGAGGAAAACCGGCAAGAAAAACAACATGCAACATCTTGACTTTCTGTGGTTGAAGACTCTGCAGTAAACCCTGAGATGGGCTTTGAATGCCCTGAGACATAAACACTGTGGGCTTCCGGAATCACAGACTTATCTGGATATTTGTACCAGCTACATGGACAGAGAGAGTTGTTCTCCTAATATATAGGGTACCTAAACTGGCAATGATCATCTTATGAGCTGCAGTTGAGGTGACCAAGCACAGAATTTGAGTGGACTTTGGGTCTGTGACTAGCATTGAGGAGGTGAAGTCAACTTATTTTAGGAGGATTGTAAAGTAAGCCAAACTTCAAGGCCTTTATCCTGGCATTTTTATGGGTGAACATGTTTCCAGGCGAAGGTGCATGGCAGAGAGTCTCTGATATCCAGTTACAGGTAACCCAGCAGTTCTCAACACCCACCCGGGGGACATTGGTAATGCCAGGAGGCTTCTGGTTGCCACAACTGAGAGGGCAGGGTTCTACTAGCATCTAGTGGGTGGACATGGGAAGCTGCTTCACATCCTGTAATGCAGAGGACAGCCCATCACAACAAAGAATTTTCTAATCCAAAAGTTCAATAGTTCTGCACCTGGTGGCACAGGCCTGCCATCCCAGCTACTCAGGAGGCTGAGGCAGGAGGATCACAGGTCCAGGCCAGCCTGAGCCACTTAGTTTCAAAATAAAATAAAATAAGGTACTGGGGATGTAGCTCTGTGGCAGAGTGCTTACCAGAAGTGTGAGTCCATGAATTCAATCTCCACTATGACAAAAACAAAAACAAAAAACACCCTGCCTCAACTCCACTATTAGAAGGTCCAGTTGATTATGTTGTTTGCATAGATGGTGCCAAGACCGGCATCTCTACTTGGGAGAATTTTACTTTCTGAATACACCACAAACCCAGTACCTCTTGCTCTCTTCTGATGTCCTCACCATCCTGCAACCCGTTTAGTTTTGCCCTCCTAGTCTGCCTGCGAGTCTTCTGTACAACCAGAAACACAACATGCTCTTTTTTCCCTGTCCTCTCCACTTCTTCATTCACATCAAGGATATCCATGGTCACGTCCATGTCAAAGAAGTCCTTAGCCACAGCCTCAATGATACCTGCAGCAGAAGGACACTTAGAGGTTAGGGAATGGCAGAAGGCAGTGTGTCAACAAACATCAACCAAAAATCCAGTCATACAACTTCTGATGAATTTTCCAGGGTTCACAAAGCCCAGGACCTGCCTCAAGACATACAGCATATGACAGATGAGGAAAATAGAAGTACTTAGAGATTTAATTTGTCCATGCCTGGATACCAAATATATCCTGCTGTTCCCATTTCTAGTTCAGCATCTCTTCGTTTGGTTTTTATTTCAGGAAGGCATGTAACCTCCTTAAACAAACAAACTAAAAATAATGTAAGCAAAATTCGGTTGTAAAAGCATTAAGAATCATGTTTGCAAAGTTTTCTTTGGGAATCTATCCCAGGGTTAAAGTACACAGGGTGGAGAAAGGATGTGTGAAGATGTTCATCACAGTCTTGTTTACAAAAGCAAAAGATTAGTATTGATGAAAAAATGCAGCAATAGAGGGCTAGCTAAGATAACTACAATATGCAATATCATTCATCCATTTAAGACGTGGCTTTAAAGGCTATGTGAAAACATGGAAGCATGCATTTTCTACCATGCTCAATTTTTTTTTTAAGAAAGAGCCAATACAAAATAGTATCTATATAAATATCATAATTATGTAAACACCTGCATAATTCAAAATGTTCAACAAAAAATAAAAATTATTCTTTCTTTTGGCATTTTGGAAACTTATTTTAAAAGCTCGAGGGCTTTGGAAATAATGATCAAGATGACAAGGAATCAGATTGGAGAAGGGACAGAGCTCCCAGCCCACATCTGGCTCGTGGCTGTCCTAGAGAGTTTGTGGGCAGATTTCCTTCCTCCGGAGGCCTCAGAACTAAGCCACTGCCTACCTGGTACGATGTGGCACAGACCACGCCTGTCCGAGTAGTAATGCAGAAGCATTTCTCCATCGGTCCCTCTCTCCACACGAAACGATGGTGCATTCATCTCCTAATTAGAAGACACAACACGTTTCTTCCCAGGGAAAATAAATTGTTTAAGCTATGACGTCAAGGCTCTGGGAGCAGGACTTTCCACCATAGCATGCAGAACTATATCCGGGCCTCTTTCCAGTCACACAGTACCAACCACAGTTTCTCAGCTCCCATGTATCAGGAATTTCCTTCTCTACCCAAGTCCCTAAACAGCATTTTATGGCAACTGTTGTCTCCATTTTCAAGAGGAGGAGCCTGAGGACCAAGGAAGTTAAACCTAGATGAACAGTAGAACAATGGACCACCCCCAGATTGAGCCTTTGTCATGTGCCAGGCCTCTTCCAGCTGCATTCCAAGGGGTGCTGGCCAGAAGGCACCAGAAGGCCTCTGTGAGTCTCTGTAGACCTTGGCCTGTGACTAAGTGACCAAGGGCCTCTTCACCCACAGAAAGATCAGGGGCTCAGAGGAATCTGCAAGTGAAATGAATTAACGAGTTTCTTGCTGTGGTATCAAATCGCACATTTGGAAAACAGAACCCTGAGGGAGACATCAGAAAAACTTCTCTTTCTTCAGGAGTAAGCGTTGACATTCACCTATGCCCAATCTCATGAAGGTGAGATACGTCTTGGGAATGAAAGGTACACACTTTGCCTGGAGAATTCGCTGACAGAAGCAACCGTCTCTCCTGCTTCCCCCACCCTCTTCTAATTTTTCACTTCGAGACAGGGTCTTGCTAAATTGCTCACAGCCTCCCAAATTTCTGAGACTGGTTTTGAACTTGAGATCCTCCTGCCTCAACCTCCCGAGTCTCTGGGACTACAGGCATGTGCTACCATACCCCGCTCTCCTGCTTGATTAGCAGGCAACTCAGCACCCTGGACTCACAGCTTTTGGTCTCAGAGAGGAATGAGATGAAGAAGGTGGATGTGTTTTTTATGAGATCTTTGTCCTGTTTCCTAGTAGAGGGTTGCTAGTTAAAATGTTTTTTTTTTTCCTTTCCAAATAAATTTCCATATTCCCAAAAGTATGTATATAGATAAAAACATTTGTTGGTATGTATGTGTGTTTATTATATCTTTACCAAATATAAAGAGGATTTGATAAAGTATGCATAAAAAGGAAATTAAAAGTTCATTTAAAAACTATATCCAAATTCTACAGTGAAAGTAAAGCAATTCAGTACAGAGGGGCAGAAATAGAGATCCACGTGCTCCTGCCAACGTCCCCCTGAAGCCATCTCCAAGCCAGACCTCTTCCCAGACATTTCCAGAAGTTCTTGCTTTTGGTTCTTATGGTTGATGTCTCCAAGTTTCTAAATAATGCAGTTATAGTTTTACTTATTGATTAACATAAAACATTTTTTAAAAAATGGAGAATAAGGCAAAGGAAAAAATGATGCCAAGCAGCCGAAAACAAGGCCTTTTTCAGACAGACGTGGCTGGGTGTAGGTTATTGCTCAACCACCCACAGTATGGGTGAGTTTGGAAAGCGTCTTGACCCTTCTGGGCCTCAGTTTTCTTATTTGTATAGTGGGGAAAATACGAGTGCTTAATCTTACAGGCGTTAAGAGGACAGTTCATTTAGCACAATAATTACCAGTCAATGAAGGTTAGCTAAAAAATAACAAGACTAAAGGCACAGTTTTAACCAGGGATGTGTTCCTTAAAGTTGGAATCATTTTATTTATTTTTGCCTAAAGAGACAATCTTTAATCCTTTGTCTAGTATAAACCACTATATAGCTATCAGGTATCATTGCATAAAGTTCATCCTAACTTGTGTGTTGTAGCAATTTAATATTTTATTTATCCGATTATAGGCTAAATGTCCTGACAGACCCCAGAGAGGTTCTAGTCTAATACTTCTCTATTAGTATGGTTTTGGCATATGTGGGGTAAGAGGTGGTTAACTAGTATAGGAAGGGTATCAGTGTTGGGTATAAAAATCACAGCCATGGGACTTCAGAATCTCAATTCCTTTCACTCTCATTCATGAAAGTGAGAGTAATATCAAGGAAACAATATCTGAAACAGTAAAAACATTCCATAATATTTTTATTTAATAAACAAATTAAATATTGACACCTCCAGAACCATGACTCAATATATTAACCAAATTTCAGGTGATATTAAAAATATTATGGAAGTTTATTAAAGGATCCTAACTGTATTTCTTTCTATTCTAAGAGTTGTGCCTTTAGCTAAGAAACCTGATAGAAAGTTGCCATGCAAATTCTCAGACTTTTAAAACTGTTCCTATTGAACAGAAAGAAAGAAAAGGAGAAGGAAGAGTTGCTTATGAAATGCCTGTTCTGAGCCCATCATAACACTAAGGACTTTTATATGCTCTCTCTTTTAATATGCCCAACTCTATGAGGTAGGTTATTTATTCCTATTCCTTTTGGTCTTTGTGTCTAATGACTTAAAAATTGTTTAGTACATACTAGGTGCTAATTAAATAAATTTAATTAAATAAATAAGTGGGCAACAACTTGCCCAGGATCACACAGCTGGGAAGTCGCAGTTCTGCTCAGACAGTGACATCTGGCCTCATTGCCCAGACTCTTTCCACTCCCACCACCTCAAGAAGTTCATGTGACAATAATAGAACAGGCTCACAAACTCACTCTTCCTGAAGTAGGATGTTTCCAAGCCTCTGATTATTTATTCAAAATATAGAGAAAATAACCTTTTTTCCCCAATTTTACAAATACGTACAAGTGCGCATAATAGTGATGTGCTTTAATATACATAACGTTTTTATCCTCATGACAACCCTGCAAAGGTTGTCACTATGAACACTAAGTCTAGAAATAGTGACGAGGTTGGTAAAGTAAAGGTGTCCTAAAAATAAAATATTTTACATAAAATAAGAAACTGTTATCATGCTATGTGAAATGTTACTTGATCGTTTCCATAAAGTGCTTTGTCTAAAAAAAAAAAAAAAGGTATGGGGGGGTTCTAGGCATTTGAATTTCCAATGATCTCTCCAAAGAAGAAAAGCAAGGCATGAACTCCAGAAGGACCTATCCCAGAAGGGAAATTAGTTTCTTAACACCTCCGTCAGTCACCCCATGGGTTAATCAGAGTTGGATGGTTTCCGATTCTGGCTCTTGGCCCTGTCGAGTCTTTCCTTCTGATACTTGAATAACACAAATCTGGCTGCATAAGCTATTTATCAGCGCCATCCAGACCAGGAAACCTTAGGAGAGATTTTGCAAATCCACTGAAACCTGATTGTTTTCCAGTCTTTGTTGCCATTGTGATCAGCCTCCTAGATTGAATTCCAAGCCAGCTCTACTGCAGAGGCCTTCCCCCATCACAAAAACTGTAACCCCCCACCCTCTCTCTCTCTCTCTCATTTTGGCCAGGCAGTTTATAAAGGTGGCCAACAGGTATTTATTTTCCTTTTCTTTCCCATGAGAACTCTTGTACCAGGGACCAAGGGTTCTGCAGTGCAACAGACAAGCAGCAGCTCCCTTCCACCCACTCTTCTTTGCAGGGAGGGAGGAGATGGCTCAGAATTTGCTTCTTCTCAGGATCACCAAGATTACCAGGCCCAAGTGGTCTTACCTGGTAAGAGAGTGCAAGGTAACTGTGGAGGGCATCCAGGTTTTCAATAAACTCCGTGAGATTTCCTCCCAGGGTCCTCAGCATTCTGTCGTAGCCAGACATCTTACAGAATTTAAAGAAGTATTCTCCAAAGAGTTTCAGAATGGCTTCCATGGACACACCTGTGAAATCCAAAGCATACCCTGCCATAAAGTCCCTGCCAGGAGTTCGTCCTCCCTTGGTATTCATTTATTTTCAAAGTGTCCAAATCCTGGCTCTGTGAGACTTTCTGAGCCACCATCCAAGTCTTCACCTTCCTCATCAGTGAAATGTCATCAATAACGTCAATGTCCTGAGGCCCTTGTGAGGAGCTCAGTGCAATCCTAGAACCTTCTGGGTGCTCATTAACCATGAGTTCTTTCCAATCCCACCCAATCCCAGTCTTTTTCATGACATCCATGGCAGATATTTTCCTATGGCCCAGGAGGGGATTCAGAGCTATTGTTCCCCCTTGACCACTGCCTCCAGTGGTCAGGTCAAGGGCACAGAGCAGCCCTCTGCAATCTTTTCTACCACTCCTACATCTTCAAATACATGGTCTAAAGTGCAAAGTCCAGCTCTTATAAATGGCTAATGTAGCAGTGCAAAATCAATTCCACCAAAGTTTTTATCATAATTTACCCAAAAGATGATAACAAACGCCTGCAAAGACTCCGTCTCTCTCTGGACCTCACCAGATCATGGTTGCCCTTCAACGATCAGTTTTCACATCACATTCTCCACGAAGATCTGTCTGAATATCCCATGTCCTGCTGACTTCACTCTTCCTAAATGTTGCACTTTTCCCCTCCTATTTCTAGGGTTAGGCAGCAACCTCGCCTTCCACGTTTTTGAACTGGACACAAAGTGAGTGCTTGATGAATTTCTGGGGTTGGGTTTGCAACACCTGGTGAGAAATGCTGCCCACCTCTCCCACTCCCCACCTGCACTGTTTGTGTAGTAAATATTTTTAAAGAATAGCCCATAGTTCCTGCAGCACCCATTGTCAAAGTTATTTTACCAAAGCTTGTCAATTTCTTGGAAGTTAGATAATGTTATTTTAATGTCACCCTTTTTCCACATGAGCCCATTGAGTCTAAGTCATCTTTGTGAATTGACCACAATCATACAGGGTGGCAGAGGCCAGACTTGCTGAAAAGGCTATAAATCTAAAGTCAGTGCTTCCTTCTACTATAACCCACAGTCTTTGGAGTAGCAGTTAGGGAAACAAGTGTCTCCCCAAGGCAATGGCTACCTATGGACTGTCACCTTTGGCAAAGGAGGAAGGACATCTATTCATCCTGCTGACCTAGAGCTCCTGGAAGGAACACTCTTTCTTATGGTGGACTTGGGACTCATGTGCATGCTAGGGGCCAGGGAGAAGGTCCAGAATACTCAGATTTATAGGATTCACAATTCCTCTACTGCATATGAAATCATGTTAGTGTTTCATATGCTTATGAACTCTAGGATGCTAGCTGGATCTGGAGCTCACAACAAGGGGACTTCTAGGTCTGCTGAGCTCTCTGGAACTGGGTCATACAAAGGGACAGGGGATGAGAGGAGTCCTGAGCACTTTTCAGCCTGTCCTGGCTTCCTAAGCTGGAAGCCAGGAACAGCAGTTTCTCTACACTTCTTTGTCCTTAGCTAGACCTCTGAGCAGATCATTGTTCTGTAATCCGAGCAGGACAAAGTCCCCACTGAGTTGGTCTGGTCTCGTCTGACTGAGTTATATACATATTTTTTCACAATTTGTTAGCCGCATCTGTATCTAGATAAAGCTTGGGATGGTAGGGTGGGAGGTGGTCCCGGCCTCCATTGCATCCTTTGTTTGGGGTCCATCCTAGCTGGATGCAGGCAGGCTTGTCGACACCAGGAGCCATGCCAACTCTTAAGTTAACTGACGTAAATTCTACTCAGGTTCTTTCCAATACTTCTGAGTTCCTGGAAGAACTCCTGAAAAATAAATGAACAGGTGGGAAATTGTTCCTTCTCCTCTCCTTCCACCTTTCCTTCTAAATCTAGCTTATTCTGGCTGGGAAAAACGAAAAAGAAAAACAGCTGTTCCTTACAGCCGGCAGCCTGGAGCTCTGAACAGGTGCATCCTGTTACCCACCAGGAAAAGCCCAGGTCCCTAAAGCCTTCCTCCTCCCCGGGACCTCTCCCAGGAGGACCAGGCTGTGTGCAGGCCAAGCAAAGTTACGTTCAAGTGACAGTGGCAGCTTTGGGTAGAAAAGCTGCCTGCTTGACTTTTCTTTTATATCTGAAAATTTACAAAAATCCATGAAGCTGCTCGTTCCAGACCCTGGTTATTTTGTTTCTGGGCACCCAGCTCTGTTAACAGGAAAGGACATCTGGCTGAGAGACTAACTGTTCCTTAAACAGCAATCTTGGGCTCGGGTGTGGTGCTTTCCATCTGTGCTGGGTTTGGGGCTGCTGCTAGGATTCTTGGTTCAGAATGCTTGTCCAGCAGAGGACAAAGGCCTGTTCTTAAATTCAACACCTGTCTTGTTTTTTTTGATACGGTTTCACCTCAGTGAATTTAGAATTCCAAGGGCCTCCTAAGTCACAGGGTGACAGGGACATATTGAAAATGATAAGAAAATGCAAGAACAAAATCAGCACACATCTGAGGTGCTTTAAAATGTTATGTGATAGTGCAAGAGAACATCCATAGTATGCATAGTTTTCTACCTTTTGTGTAAGAAAGAAAGGGAAATAGAGAAATGTGTATCTATCTGCTTATTTGTGCAAAATTAAACAACAGAAGAATAAACCAGGAGCTATGAAGATTGGCTACCTATGGGATTCTGGTGGGAATGGGATGGAAAAACTATGATGGAGGATGCTACTTCTCTGAACATAACTTTGAATGGTTTGGCTTAAAGAATCATGTTCATGTTTCATATGCTTAAAATAAGCAAGATCAATAAGGAGAGGGAAAAATCCTAAGAAGGAATACAAACAGAAACAAATTAACAGAAAAATATTTCAGACTGAAGAGTTTTGAATAACACAAATACCCAGGGGAAAAAAAGTAACCTGTTAATATTTGAACACAGTATTTAGATTGCTTTGTCCCCAGGCCATAGACAAAAAGAATGTGAACAAATATTTAATTGGAGTTCAGCTTTCTTCCATCATTTAGGTTAACAAATGATGAAAATACTTCCTGAATATTCAAGAATTGAGCATATAAGTAAACATCTTAGAACCAGTGGGAGACAGATTTCTCCCTGAGAAAGTGGTTACAAAAAGGAGAAGAGAAAGAACCCCGTAGTGTTGAATTAGAAAAAAATTAACATAATAAGACCACACAATTCATCATAGTATAGATAGATGATAAATGATAGAGAGATTGACAGATAGATAGATATGTATATTAGCATCTGTTTTCCAGGTCTGTTCACTGAGAGAGCCTGAAAGTAGTGACACCTCGGTCGTGATGAGCTCACCTAGCAATCAGATCTTGGTCCTTAAGTACCACTCTGCCAAAAGAAGCCATTTCTCTACTTAGAGAAATGGGGCATGGTGGAAAGAATGAGATGAACCTATACCATTGTTTCATTCCAGAAAATAAAGAGGAGATCAAAGAATGATAGGGACATATCAAAAGGGCACCGGGGCCAATTTAAAGGGATTCCCACTAACTAAATCTTGGAGAATTTGAGCATCGAAATAAATAGTGAAAGTAAAGGATTGCAACCTATTTTTTTAAAAAAATTAAGTTTCAAGAGTCTTGCTTATTTAAATTGATATAAATAAACTCAGGAGGGAGAAAATTCTTCCTTACAGAACTCCAACTAACAAATGCAAGAAATTCTATACTTAGAATATAACCATTTTACCAACATCATAAGTATTGACCCAGATAAAAACCATAACTGAATACGAAAATCCCAGAAGAAGGGGTTTGAAAAGCAGTACGATATTTTCATTGTCTGAATTACAAAGGGAAAAATAGTAATTTTACAGTGGAGCAAGCTGGCAGATTCCACTTTCACAGAGTGATCAATGTTGACAGTAATAATAGGACAGCTCAATGATGAATTGGGAAGGATCACTTCTGAGCCAGGCACACTGGTGGATACCTGCAGTCCCAACAACCCAGGAGGCTGAGACAGGAGGATCGTAAGTTTGAGGTCAGCCTCAGCAACTTAGTGAGACCCTGTCTCAAAATAAAAAAAATAAAAGGGATTATGGTTATAGCTCAGTGGTTGAGTAGCTCAGGTTCAAGACCCCAGCACCACAAAAACAAAAGAGAAAAAACAAACAAAAAAGATCACTTCTGTGGTCTTTCTACCAAGAAAGCATAATTGAAATTATATTACGAGAAACTATTAAATAATCAACTTTAAATAAATCCTGAATGAAGGAACATGCTGCCAAATAGCTGAGCAGAAGCTCCCAAAGATATTAATGTTATAAAACACAGAGATTCTGGAACACATCTAGGTTAAAGAACAATGAAAACACATGACAATTGGCATCATTCAAGTTTTCTTCTGTTTTAAAGGACATATGTGTCAAGTGGGGAAAACACTCCATAAAGTCTGTAGATTATTTCATAGAATCATATCAAGGCCCATTTCCTGAGTTTCATGTTGTACTGCAGTTATGTAAGATATTTTTTCACCAACAAAGAAGCATCATGTCTGTAACACAGTAACAATTCGGGGAGGGGGGGATGGATTATAGATACAGATATGGAACAAAGACAGAGCCAATATGGTTAGATGCTAACATCTGGGAAACACGGATGGAAAAGTATATGGGAATTCTTTGTGCTATTCTTACAAATCTTTTGCGGGTTTGAATTTATGTCAAAATGAAAAGTTTTTGCTGATTGCCCTGAAAAGACCTTAGGAAATCTTATATAATAAGACTGCTTATCCCAGGCCAGCTGAGATACAGCTGGAACCTGAATCTCCATAATATTATAAATTTTGTTGGATATAATCAGAGCATTATCATTACATTTTAAAATGTCTTTATCTTGTTAGAGACTCATACTGAAATATTTATGGGAAAAAATTATGGGAAACCTGAGATTTGCCTTCAGACATTCCAGCAAAAATAAAAACAGAAAAGGGGTGGAGAGACCAGATAGATGAAATAAGATTGTCAAAATCCTGACAATTAG